CCCCAAAGGCGCACAAAAAAACCCCATATATTTGTATGCAAAAGAACTTTATTATTTTATATWTGTACGTAATAGCCTGCGTTTAAGCAAGGCCTGTGCTCCACGTCACTAGCCGTCAAGGCCCCCGGGTGTCCCGACAGCCTCGGGTGGGCACCTGTGGACCAGGCACCCTGCGCTGCCCCCCCATAGCGGCCACCCCGGGGTCGACCAAYGTACCCAGGGCACCCGCAGGGCCCAGGGGCGCCGTGCGCTTCCCAATTCTCGCTTTGCTGGGGAAGGATCGGTAAAATAACCAGCTGCTATTTAACCAGGAACTGATGGGTGCGTGTTTTTTAATAAGTCGCAGCGATGYGCTGCGATCGGCTGGGGAGAAACCCGGTGGCACCATGGGGATGCCTTTGCCATCAGCCACGGTGGAGGGACGGTCAGAAACTGGGGTGTCTCGGGGCTTTTGGTCACAGCGGGGGACACCCAGGCCGTGGGGACAGCGAGGTTGCATCCCCGAGCAGCTCTGGTGCCCGGGGGCTCCAGAGGAGGAGCTGCCGTCGCGTCGCGATGATGAGAATTTAATTGAGCGTTCGATTAAGTGGGYGTCGGAGGTTTGGGGAGCGAGGCGGCAGCTCCCGCGCCCGCCTATCCCCTGCACCCCGTCCCCCTGCTCCCGGCCCTCAGCAGTGCAGCAGACCCCCACCGCCGTCCATTAGAATAAGGGGAAGATCCAAGCTCAATATTAGCACATTTAGGGTATCATTATGAGTAAGAATTCTCCGTGTGCGATAAAACGGCGGAAAAAGGATTAGAGCTTTTCCCAATCCATTTGTGTCCATCTCTTCTTTATATGTGTGTAAGCTCTGTCTAAAATTGATAATATTATTCAGTGCTGGGATTTATTGGGATATACTGGGACACATTGGGATCCTGAGGGATAGTGGTCATGTACTTGCTCCTTAACAGAAAGCTATAGGTATGTGACCAACTTATCGATGCTTCATGAATATTGAGGTGTCTGCATTGCCCCTGGGGTTTGTAGCCGCCTTCATGGGTGCATCTCCGTTTCCACGTGCAGAACAAAGTTTGCACTTTTTTTTTCTCTTATAAATATGCTGTATATATAGCCTTTACTTCCTGCTCGGTGAATCTGATATTCAGTTGAAATAACTTTTGGACCTATTGTAGAAAATTATTTTTGAATTTTAACTTCTGTGCAGCTGTCCAGTACTTTTAGTCCAAGGGAGCTGCATGCAGCGTACAATGAAACACTTGACTGTGATATAACCAAGTGGGAATTATCTCAGAAAAAGAAAAAAAGAAAGACAGATTTGGGCCATAGAAAATCTGGGTTAAACAGTAACTTGAAAGTAGAATATCTCACGGACAACACAGTTTTTGAAGTTTTATTGGCAATAAATAATATGTTGATGATAATGTTTTGAGTGGTGTGTTAAGTATGTCATAATTCTCTTGTAGAGATCTCCAGTTAGAAAGTACTGTGAGTATAGTGCTGTTTTAATTTAAAAAAACAGATATAAATCATATGCAGGAAAGGAAGTATGTTGTAAACAGTGCTGGTTTTGATTATAATTTTTTAAAATAATGTCAGATAAGTATTGCATTTGAATTTTAAATATTAATATTTGCACGCTCTGGGGATAGAGTTCGTGTCGAGTGTACTAACTAATAAGTTTGTTAATGCAAACTCTTTTTGTGGTGGAGGATATTAACAATGTGCCTATTAATATAGATGTAGCCGTCTAATCATATTCGAGCATAAAAGGATATTGTGAACCAAGGTCCAAATCATATTCACTTATTACTGTTTCTTTATAGCCAGTGGTACTTTATTTGTGAGCAGCAGTCAGAATTTGGCCCTCTGTTTATGTCTCAGTCTGGGAAATTTTACTGAAAGTCATAAAAGACCCAAGTTGYAATGTTAGCTGTTACGAGCATTTTTGTATGTTGTTTTGAATGATGCTGATAGTAGCCGAGAGCCTTAGTGGACGTAAAGGCAGGGGAAAAAAAAATGGAGCGAAGTATAAAATCTCTCCCCAGTAGCACCACAGTAGTTAAGGGTCTGTCAGCGTTTCCACTCCAAGCCCCAGTTTTCAGAGTTTATAACTCAGCTGTTTTAAATAGCTTCAAGCTGAAACCTGGTGTACGAATTGTCAGCCCAGATGTATATTTTTAAACAAAAAGTAGTGCAAATCAGTTATTCTGTTTCAAGTTATAGAACATTAAAATATTTTTAATAGTATCAGATGCTCTTTTGGCAATCTCTGGAAAAGGAATTCCCCGTATAGAATATTTTGCATTCGGTGAGCTGTTTGAATTCAGTATTTTGCAAAATAATAAAAAAAAAAGTTATTGGAGTGAGGGGCATTAGTGTTTGAGAGGACCTGCACATTAGCACATRCACATTTAGCATGCACACTAGCTTTATTTTGAAACAATCATTTTGCAGTGCAGAAAGCCTTAACATTTGGTATTATTATACAGCATTTTTTACCTCTCAGCTTGTAACTTCTGTCTTTAGGGTACGTGCTTTGGCCATTTCAATCCCACCAGACTGAAATTGGGCGAACAGGTTGCTTGACCAGATGAGAATAATTGTGTTATAGAAAAAAAATACAGCATTATTTTCAACCTGTCAGAATTTGTCTTATTTTTTGTCTTTATTTAACTTCATGTGCCTTTTTGCAGAGCTTCTGCCAAAAAAAGGCAAAGGTTTATTTTAATAATCAAACTGTAGATAGTTTTATGCAGAAAGTAAATATTTTTGAGTGGTGGAGATATTTGTATTTAAAGAATGGCTAAGATACTTGCCCTGTAGATACTTTTAATCTTCAAAATTTTACTCTAGTCCCTAGTCTTTTTACACTGCACTTGTAATCCTCTTTCTAAGAAAATGTAAATAATTTTTGCTTGATACGTGGCGTAAAACTGCCAAATCAGGTTTATGCAAACAGTCTTTCCATAGGTGAAGTTACTTTCTGAAGCTCCCGGGATACCCCACTTTTCCATCGTTTTCTTACATCTTTTGCATCTCTGCAAAAATTTTCTCTAGACAGAGCACGTATGCACATTGGTCTTCTGATGTGCAGTGGCAAAAAAAAAAAAAAAAGGATAAAAATATGATAAATATTTTGCTCCTATTGCACAGCAGAGGAGTTTGCTTTTTTTTTTTTTTTTTTTTTGCCTTTAATGGGCAAAGTCTTACATTTTCAGTCCTAATTTCAGTTTGACTTTTCTTTCAGTCTCAGTGATACCGTGTCATGCTGCAGGGAAACAGTGCATTTTAGCTCTGCTGTAGCTCTCGACTGGAGGCAGTTGACGCGGGGACTCCAGCAGCGCCACGTGCTCTTTCATGCCGACGTTCAAGTTGACCAATCYAAGTGACGTTGTCGATGGGGAGAATTGAAAGGGAAGGAATAAAACCCACGGAAAGCAGAGGCATCCTGAGTGCTGGACGGAAGGGCCCACGAGGGAGCTTTGCTCATGCTTGAGCTGGTGTCGTGAGCTCTGGTGGCAGGAGACCACGGTGCGACTGGTGCCACCTCCGGGCTCTCGGAGCACCAGGAGAGGAGGCTGCGCTGCTCTCCTCCCTCTCCCGAGGCTCCAGGTGGACACGTGTGTCCTCCTTAGSTCAGGGTCTCTGCTTCTGAGGAGCTGATGGGATTTCTGTCTCTCAGAAACACCAAGGACAGGCTGCAATTGCCYTGGCTACTGAGGAGCATCACTGGATGCTCCAGAGCTGTCGTACAATATAGCAAAGCCCGAAGGGGAGTGTTTTATAAGCATTCTGAAGCCCCAGGCTTTGCAGTTTCAGCCAATATCCATTTATTAAGGGTGAGAATCAGCTCCTGTGCTCAGCAGATATTACTAGTTTGCGTATGGTGGTTCTTGCACCTTGCTTGGAAACTTCGTTGTCACCAGATCCAAAATCCCGAGCTAGCCGGACCTCAGATCTTATCACAGATATCCACAGAGGCGCTTCTTGTGGTTTTTTTTTTTTTTTTTTTTTTTGTATGTATGTTTTTGTGTTCTGAGATCTTAAAATCACTTTCAAGTAAAACAGTAAAATCTGACCAAAATAGTAAAATCTGACCTGACAAGCAGACGTCATAAGAGTCAGTGACACAATCTTCAGGTGCTCTTACCTGGTGTTTTGCTGAAAACCAAGAAAGCAGTAAGTTCATACGGTGTTTCAGCCTCACTTTATTCTTTCATTTATATCAGCCGAGCTGCAATTTCCAGGCATAAAGTCAGTCATGTTTTCAGGTTTTGTGTAGCTTTGCTATTCTYTTTGGCTGTTTTAAAGTAGAACAGCGCACGGGGCCACGTAATGCTGTCCGTGCGTATCCAGAACCGGGCAGTGTTTCACCTCAATACTGCAGTGCAATTCCCAGGGTCAGGCTCACTGCATGTATGGAAAAGCCCTTTGAAGCAGAACCGAGGATAGAAAAGGTCCAGGAGAGGGAACAAATTTCTCTGAATAACACAAGAAGTCTTGACTGATCATGTGGAGTGGGAGAAACCGTAAGAGGGGCAGATCTGGCATCTCASGTTGTGGGGTTGTTTTTAGGGGGGCAATGGGCTTTTTTATTTGTGGGAGTGCTTTTTTTTTCAGTTTGTTGTTTTTACAAACTAAGAGCCAGCACCAGTATTGGGGAARGGGGCAAAAGAGACCTATTTTCTCGGTGCTGCAGTGGAAATTTTTGTGTGAGGAAGCTTCTCCTCCTAGTAACCGTATATTCCTGTTTAAGTTAACTTTTAGAAAGTTSCAGTGTGGGAATACGGCAGGTGTCCCCAGGGCTGTCAGCCTGGCTGATCACCGGACTTTGGGGGTGTTTTTCTGATCACTTAAATTTGGGAAACTGGTTTGTAGAAGGGCGGCTGCCGAGGCCGCGCGGGCGCGAGCGGCGGCGCTTCCCCACGTCCCTGCTGCCATGGCGGCCCGGGCGGCGGCCTCACCGCTGCCCTCGCCTTCCCCTCTCCGCAGGTGGTGGCCCTAGGAGAAGTGCCTGATGGGACCGTGGTCACCGTGATGGCCGGCAACGACGAGAACTACTCGGCGGAGCTGCGCAACGCCTCGGCCGTCATGAAGAACCAGGTGGCGCGGTTCAACGACCTGCGCTTCGTGGGCCGCAGCGGCAGAGGTGGGTCCCGCCRCGCTCTCCTCACACTGCCCTCCCGCGTGCTGTGGGTGCTATGGGCTCCCACCACAAGCTGAGCTCTCCGCCGACCTCCCTACCCCCGGGCAAACTGCACAGTTAGCCCCCTTCTTTCAGCAGATTTTTTAGGGCCTGACGGCAAGCTTTGGCTTGCAGACAGCTTAGCCTCAGATGCCCGAAAGGGAGGCGCTGCTCGAGGGTTTCGAGGGCTCTCGTTGTCGTCCTCCAGCCATTCGGAGTTCCTATAGTCCTGCCAAACTTCTGCCAGCGATGTCGTGGTGAAAATACAGCCTTTTTCTGGCTTTAAGATATGGGGTGATGACGGAAAGGCTATCTCGGGGCGAGCTGGCACTTCGCTGGTTGCTCAAAGAGGGCTGTTAAATCAACTGGTGGTGAAGCCTAAACATTTTACTTTATATATTTGAAGTAGTTTTTATTTATTTTATTATTATTATTATTTTTGATAGCCCTGTGTGGAGAAAAACTGGAAAACATGCAGGGCTGGGCCATCAGCAATAACGCCAGTTTTGCAGTAATATTCTGTAGAAAGCAATATAGTTCATCTTCGAGAAGGAAAACACATTTTTCTAAAAACATTCAAGCCCRTGACAGCTTCCTCAATAGTTGAAATCAGATGACATGCTTTCCTAATTACAAATGTTTCATGAAGGTGATCCCGTAAGAGTGGCTCCCCAGGACTACTTTTTCTTTTAACTTTAGGGACCTGGCCAACAGTTCTTTTGATTTTTTTTTCCAATGTGGAAATTACTGACAATCCAATACCTTGAAATAAGGCAAAACTATCGCAAAAGTAATACAATATAAATATGAACTTTGCTGCCCTTTCAGACAAGGTGTTAGCCCTCTTTTCCATTTGTCTTGCTTTTTTCCCCCCTAAGCAGCCGTGCACTCTGTGGTTCTGCTGATGAATGAGGTTTGAGGGCTCTCTGGCTCCGTCACTAGTGCTCCTCACATTGGGAGCTCAGTAGTATATCAGCATGGCAGCAGTGATGAAAAAGAGCTGAAATGCGAGGTTCTGCCTCTGATCTGCGGATCTCATTTGAAACGTATGATCTGTACTTTTCGCTGGAACACAGGGCAAGAGGTAGAGGGCCTGATGAATCAGTAGATGCAGCGAGAGATGCACGCAAACCCCCAACTTCTCAAATTTGGATCCAGTAATTTAATTTAGGCTTGTGTCTGGCAGACGTGAAATATATATATATATAWAAWATATATATATGTATATATATATATTTTTTTGATCAATCTGGGTAAAATCTATGGAAAAGCGATAGTGTACTTTTCAAACCCTCAACATATTTATTTAAGAGACTTCAAAGAAAAACAAAGGGTGTGCACTGTTTTACTATATTGGTTTTCTGAGTTTTGGCTAGTTTCCCAAATAGCAATTTTTATATTTAAAAAAAAAGGGGGGGGGGGGAAGAAAAAAGACAGACTTAACTGCTTGCAGACTTTTCACGCATGGAAGATGAAGAAAGCTTCTTTTGATGAAGTGTAATTATGTCCAAACAGAGCTGACCCCCTCCCCCTATATTTCTTATGATCTTAACGGAAGAAAGTAGGGCTTTTCCTTTGAAGCAGCCGGGACTCGGTGGAGGATCTGAAATGCTGCATTCTGCTGCCAGAGGCAGGATGGAGAAATTGGTCCAGACTTGTCTTCCAGACTTAGAACAGAGAAGGGCGAGAGAGAGAGAGAGAGGGAGAGGGAGAAGGAGATATCATTAAAGATAGATTTTTAAAACTCTGCTTAAAATAGGAAAGAAAGCAGTAGTTGCAAACAGAAGTGAGAAAGCTACTTACATAGACAAATATCGGCAGMTACTTGTCTTGGAGGAGAACAGGAAAAAATAAAGTAATAAAGAAATCGCTTTTCGGTGGGGAGAAACTAATCCACACCTGTTCCTGACTTTAGATTTACATCTTTCTAAACAGCTTGCTCTTTGATCTCTGTATCTCTAAATTTGATTGTGAAGTCTGAATCATCAACTTGCCACTTCACCTTCTCTCTCTCCCACGTTTTTTTTTTTTGTCTTGCTTCTCATGGCTCAATCGAGAGGCTTGATTTTGATAAATGTTAATGCTGCTAGTCGGCAGAAGCTGCACGTTTTTGCTCAAACACCTTGCTGTCTTGGTAAGGAGAAGCAGCCAGCGCTCCTTCCGTGAAGGCAGAAGTTGTTTGTATGTGGTTTGGAGGCAGTAGCTCCCTTTTACAGCCTGATCCGCAGCCCAGAGAAGAAAGAATTCCTGTCTTCAATAAGCAGGGGATCATAACCGTAATTTTGTTGTGTCCTGATACTTTAATCACATTAGTATCTAACTGAAAAAATATGCAACGAGCACAAGCTGCCGAGTCTCCTTTCAGGCTAATTTCTGGGGTTTGCCTTGTGCTTCAACATGTGTCCATCTTGTCCTTTTCYGTGTCAGCTAGGCTCGCACGTGTTAATAACAAAGAATGCATAGTTTAGACACACTAAAGCAATAGTGCCAGATGACTGCTTGACTAGGAATTTAATAAAAGAGTACTAAAATTAGTCCTTAGGTTCTAAAAGCGGATAATTTAAATGACTAAGGGCCCAAAAGGAAGGCGATAAAAAGTGCATTAAAGGATTTTGTAGCTGAGGAAGGAGATCTGGGAAATCAGTCACATCTCTCCGTGGCAAGCAAAAGCACCATTGAAACATGTGCCCCAAAGAATTTATTTTGTTCCTAACCCTTTAATAGGTAAATCATCTTCTGAAAGCGAGGAAACCTGGCCGGGCTGGGCAGCTCCCTGCAGTGAAGCCACATATTGCAGGGTGTAACAAATAGTGTATTTTGCTGGGTTGTTTTTTAAGTGTAACAGATTTTTAAACTTACGTGGCATAGAAATAGAGTTGTAGCATTGGAAGGCCAAGCTTTTCATTCAGAAGCCCGGGGGAACATCCCGTTTGCRCCGCTGGCAGTTGCCCGTGGCGTTAAACTCATTTGATATAGGCAGCTGTGATTCGAGTGGCAACATCATGTAATTTTGTGGTCAGATTTTTTTCCATCTGATAAGCTGGCAGAAAGGAAGCTTTAAATCTGTACCTTATCCCGAGCGAGTTTGTATAGCGAGAGAAAAGGCTCCTTTCTTGCCTCACTGGGAAGAAAAGGCACTGAGACCAGCAGGTGGGTGGACACCACTTAGTGATGCAAAAAGGCCAGACCTTCCACCTACACCTTACACTATAGGACGATCATCCTGGAAAGACCTGCAAAAAGATGCCTTTTCCAATGAGATAAGGTTAAGTCTTCTTCGGCTAGGTGTCCTGGTTGGGTTTTGCGGTCGAATTTGGCTTCTTGAGATTTTTATACCCTTGTTGAGGCCCTGATTTGCGCCCTTGAAAAGATGGGCACAACTGGAGGGCAGCTGCACCTGGAAAATCATTTTGCTCTAACTGACAGTTATATTTCGTTAAAAAAAAAGTCCACGTCACATTTTAACTCATGAAAAGCATAGCCAAGACGGTCTGAAGTTGCACTCCTGGTAGTAAATGATGCGTGTCTCAAGCAGGTTTGGGGGATATATGGCTTGCAGTAGAAAGAAAGGCCAATTGCTAGATATGACAGCCAAAGCTCTGTTCTTTATTAGGCCATATATATAAGCTGTTCTATATTAGGCTTGAAAAGACTCCGTTAAGTTTGTGCTGTTGCATATTGTTTAAGATTCATGTCTTGATCGGATGCCTTCAGAGTTCAACACAAGGCAAAGCGCTAGCAGCAAAAATGCCCGTATACACACACAGAGGCAAAAAAAAAAAAAAAAGAAAAAAAAAAAGAAAAAAGGAGCCTTGAGAGTCTGGTAAAGTAGCAGCTTAAATGAGCAATAAGGCCTAAGACTGCTGACTGTTTTATTGAGTCACTGTTCTACGCCCACCTTTTCCTGTCTTGAAACAGTTTTCAGTTTTGACTATCTGACATGACTAACGGTTGCATATCTAGCAGATTACAACTGTCAGTGCGTCTCCAGAGCAGAGGCCAGGGCCCTGTGAGAACGTGCCCCTCAATGCTGTCGGCTCCATTTATTTATTTATTGGTGACGGTCTCATGCAGCTAAAGGCTCCAGATGAGCCGGGGCAGTGTGTGTGTGAAAATGCAGATGCAGGTTTGCTAGGGAAGCAGCCACACACCGAAGAGTTTCTCGCAGTCATGGGAAAGTTGAGGGGTTTCTCAGTGTTTCATAGATGGAATATATGTAAGGGGAAAAAAAAAAATTATTTGTTCCGGTGATGATGATATCATCGTGTTACCTCTGGCATGTTAAGGACAGGAGACACTAGTTCCCTGTAAAAATGCTTCCCAGGAGGAAAATATTTTTTTCTTCATCTTTATTGTAGTCAAGTCAAACAAATGCAATGATAAAACTGTGTGAAGTAAATAACATGTGGCCGCATTCTGCTCTCTGTCGCACAGCTGCAAAACTGGAGTAAATTTTTAAATTATCTGACTTACTTTGGATTTACACCACTTTCAATACAGAAAAGAATTTGGCTTGTCCTCAGCAGTGAATCACTTTTGTTCTGTCATTGTATGATGACCCATTATTAAATAAGGAACATTTAGATTGTCAACACATGGACATATTCTTGACACAGAGTAAAACTGAAGGGGAGGAAAACTCCTATGGTCAGTTATGGTTTTAATTTTCACGATTGTGGTAACGACAGGGAATAATTTTAAACGTCTCTGATTCTTTACTGAACATGCATGTGACTGTTTTCGTGTTGTAATCACTTATTCCTTGTTGTTTTTTTCCCTTTGTAGGGAAGAGCTTTACTTTGACAATAACTGTCCTGACAAATCCCCCCCAAGTCGCTACATACCACAGAGCTATAAAGGTTACAGTGGATGGGCCAAGGGAGCCAAGAAGTRAGTATTATGGGTTTTTTTTTCTTTGCACTTACGCCTGCTTAATTTTGTTTAACATAGACCCATAAATGAAATATATATCTTTGTCAAACATTGGTCCTTGCTCAACAAAATATGTAAGCGCATGCTTAATTTGGAGTCTATTGGACCACACACATACTTGCATTAAACACACACTTAAGTGCTTGGCTGAATTTGGGCAATCATGAACCTGATTTTCATTCACATCAAGGTCTTGATACATTATCTGCCAGTGTAAATGAGAAGCGAGCCCACTGTATTTATATATAATTTGATTTAGGGATAATGCATACAATCCTGCAACATGTTGACGTCCCTGAACTCCCATCAACTGCAAACTGAAGACATTTAGAACACAATAGGAGCCCGATCTTGCAGGATCAGTCCTAGTGGAGAGAGAAAATACATAATATAGTGTCTTTTTGTTTGCCCTTAAATTCTTTTGCCATCAGATAATTAATGCACCTGGTTAATCTCATCATACCTGAAATTCGTTTTCAGCTATGGACTCATCACAGATCCCTGGGGGCCAAAGAAAGCTATAAAGGCAGTTTATCGAGAGCACGGTCTTTGTTTCTTATTGATGCACAGAATGTGCATATTTTATTTAAACAATGTCCAGCAGATTTTCACTGAACTTGTTTAGCTCAGAGCAGAGCACCTTCCTAAATTCACAAGAATCTGTTTGCAGTGATTGCTGGCCGTGTTTTTATGACAATCATGTTTTTTCATGCTCCAGCAGCTGTTAGGGAGAACACCGACTTTTAGATACAGTCAAGTCTGGTTAATCCATCATAATTTGTATGGCTGTCTCTCTGTCTAGCAGATTTAACTGGTGACTAGTCTCACCTCATGAGAGTAGCACCAATGTGCCAGTTCTGGAGTTTTTTCTTTCTCTAACCAGAACAACGCTTTCTAAATTGATTGGATTAACCAGGTATAGCTGTATTTAAATTACATGGAGAGATTAAGAATTATTTGATGAATAACCACATTAAAAAGATCCCTGTAATGGAAGCATCCCAAATAATTATTTTGCCTTTAATCTGCAAATACAAACAAGACTTTTAAGGAGCTTGCAGGGAGTTTTCAGGGAGACAGGAGTCACACAGTTTAGTGGTTTTGATACCAATACCTGCCATAGTGTCATCTCCTCTTCTTACACTGAGAGAAGAAAAAAGTGCAACTGGGCTGTTAAGTTTCATCTTGAACAATAAGTAAGAAAAAAGCAAGTAGCTGTAGAAAGAAATTCATTGCATAAATACTTGTGTTGCACTGCCTGCTCAGATATAGGATGTCCTTCTGCCACAGGTCGGGGATTTTTGTTCTGTCTTTCATCTCTAGTTGACTTGGTGCTCTTAGGACTCACCTGCATGTGTTACATTGTGTAGCTTTACTTGGAGAACTTGGACAAGTTGCCCTCCTGGAGTGCACTCCATGGAATAACTTAGACCTTTAGCCATTCAATCCATTTGGAGTCTGATTCTGTGAGCAAGGGAACCTTCTTAGGGACTGGGACTAGATTGGGACTGAAATGGAGCCATTTTGGTATTCAGTGGATTAAAACTGAGTCTGTGTTAATATAATTTATCAAGATATCAAAGTTCTGCCTTAGTGTTTTTAGTTTAGCCATGAAAGACAGTCCCTTGTTGATGATGCCTATCTGCTATCCCCACTGATTGCAGCTGACACTAGGACTGTGCAGTAACTTGGAAAATTAGTTCTTATAGCCTAAATGGAGTTCCTCGGAGTTCCTATGCCCTTCTTTTCATTTACTGTTTATTTTGTTAAGAAGTCAGCCAAATGTAAGCCTGAATTAATAAAATTTTGGCTGAATACTTGGCGAGGTCCTACTCTAGGGTCTATTTGGTTCTGCAAGTTCTGATTTTTTTTTTTTTTTCAGTCTGGTGCTTATGACAAAAGGCCTCTATGATACCTCTAGTTGTTAAATCTGTTGTTTTAGAGAAAAAGTAGTTTCAGAAGAAGTATTACAGAAGTTACACTGAATTTCCTYTTTCTTCTAAAAGCCTGTGTGCTCAGGTGAATTTATTGCTGTTSGGTAGCAGTCGTTCAATAAGTGCATCTGATGTATACATTGTGTGAGGATAACTAGGTAATAAGGAATTCAAGCCAACAAGTGGCTCTGATAGCGAATGTGGTTTTCTTAAGGAATTATGTATCAGAAATAGTGCCCCTCTGTGCCAATATTTATTTCACTTAGACATCTCAGGCATGTTATCCTATTTTTCCTTTCTCTGGCAGCTCAACCAGAGCTGTCACATCACAAACAACTTTTTTCTTAATATACACATCTGGCGTTGGCAGTTGGACCAACTTCATAAGAGCACATGATCATCATTCATTACAAGATTAAAAAGTACCCCATGGCATCATTGATGTTTTTTAACTTTGATCTTTTGCAGTGTGATTCATCTCAGTTATAAAACTTCTCTTTAAAGGAACACAACCGATGACTTATTAGAACCTTCATTCTAAGTACCGTAAACATAAAATTATGCACATCTTTACAAAATGTCATTTACTTTATTGCCAGCTTATCATTTTAAGACATGACATCATGCTTAAGATCGTGAATTTGTAAGGCTTGTTTATAGGCAAGGCACTTTGACCTTCTGTTGGCAAGCTGACTCAAGGGAACAAATGCCGTATGTTTTCCAGCAGCAGTGGGAGCAGCAGCAGCACCATGACAGATATCAAAATCATTTAGAGCCTGACATTAGGAGTGCTGAACACTCATGGTATGTAGTGACTCTGGGTGGTATTTTGGATGCTCAGCACTTCCGAAAGTCAGGTTCTTAAGTGTAAGTGCCATTTAGCTGTTGTAAAGCTATGCCTGTAGAAGCTTGCTGCCTTAGCTCTCTGTTATTATTCTTATTTTAAAAGATTTTAATTGAGACAGTGATGTCAGGTTGCTTTGGTAGGAAACTTGCCCATTTCTACATGAGAAAAGGTAAATATCTTCTTGTGATTATTCCTTGGAAACAAATTTGTTTTGTAATTCTCTGTATCAGGTTAACTAGCTAACTTTTTAGGAGCTTCTGCTGTGCTGCACCGTCTTTGCACTGTTGCTTACTGAGAGATGGAGTCTACAGAACAAGTTGTATATGATCTTTGGGGATCATTGGGCAGTCCTGCAGATATTTTTCCCTTCTCGTGTCCTTTTTAAAACCTGTGCTATGTATGTATATTAGCTAACAGAGCTGCCTTCCAGCTGGGAGGGCTGAAGGATGTTTTCCAGAGACCTATGTTATCATGAGGTTATAACTGACCAAGAGTTATCACCATATCACTGTACAGAGACTACTGGGAAAAAAAAAAAAAAACAAAAACCAAAAACAAAACCACAAACTTTGTATAACCCTTCCTTAATTCTTTTGCTTTACCTTACTATAAAATACAGAAATAGGGATTTAGAGATTTGTCAATCCATAGCAGTATGTTTGCAAAACGAATTGGTCATTCTATAGCAATATGTTTGCAATAGCAGAGATCTCCTTCTTGCTGGCTGCTTTTGGTTTAACACAGGTCAGTAGGGAAGTCAGAYGCAGGGAGGGAGGAGAAGCAGATATCTTTTTGAATTTTGCCTCGCTTCCAAAGTCTTTAGTTCACCTCTAATTAAAAATAGCCTCAGGACTCACTGACCGCAGTTCTGTATCTCAGCTTGAATGGAAAAGTAGCGCTGAGCTTTGAACTGAAACTGTTTGGGTGGGAAGAAAAGTGCTTGATTTCATTCAGCCCGAGAATATTTATCTGCCTYGGTAGCTCCTAAGGTGCCCATGTGACGAAAGGTATGAGCAAACATTGCCCTTTTCCTGCGCCCGCCGAGGAGGACAGCAGAAGCCAGAGGTGCTGCTCAGTCTTTGTATTAACTGTTTGGCCGAGTGGCTTMTGAAGCGCAGATAAAGTGATTGAGATTTTTGAGATTCCGAGACTTAAAACCGTAACAGTTTTTAGGAAGTTCTCTCGCTCTCTTCTTTCAAAGGCTGAGGGCGGAGGGATAAGTCTGGAATAGTGGAATGTGCTTTTGAGTAGAGCAGCTTTAAATCTTGCAGTAATTTTTTTC